CCTGAGAAGAGGGAGAAATCAGGGAGGAGGGGAGTAGAAAGAAGCCATAGACAACAAACCACCAAAATATTTTTCAATTCATCAAACTAATGAAATTACATAGCAAATTAGGTTTAAATAGTAAAAACAAAACTCTACCTAGAACAGGCTTGGCCAATACAAGCCCAATTACATAAATGGAATCTAAAACATAAATAAAGTCCAACTAGAAATAAATAAAATAAATGATGTCCTCATCAGCATTCTTTTAGTTGGATTATAGATTAAGTTAATCTGGAAGTTCATAGTTTGTTTCCGTTTCTTTTCTACTATAGGATGAATTCCAATGGGAGCAGGTTTGAAAAAGGATCTTAGAGTGTCTAGTGTTAGGTCAGGAGGGTCTCTTTATTCCACTTAGATTGATGAAATACATTAAAAATTCGATATTTTTTTCTCATTTGTTGAATCAGAGCACAGTGCGCTTTAGGCGCCGAAAATGTCTCTTCTTTCGAAAAGCTACTGAACATCGTGAGTATTTTTGGCTGGCTTGTGATCAGTTGGACCTTTGATTAATTAACATTTCTTGCCGATGGCATCCTTTTGCTTGGATTATAGATTAAGTTAATCTAGAATGTTCATGGTTTGTTTCTGTTTCTTTTCTCGTATAGGATCAGTCTGACCTATGTTAATGACTAGACTAGGGACCAAAAAGGAAAAGTAAAAGAGTCCAGCGGTTACTTTCAACATATGCACCTGCATCCCATCAAAAAACTCTCCACACCAGATGAAATATCTTTGTTCTAAAGAAATATGGGTAACAAGTATTTTTTCTAGCTTCTTATGGTATCATATGTGGGGCACAAGAAGCCATCTGAACCAAACAGCTATAGTTGGGATATGGATTTTTCCTAGGGTATATGTTTTCCTTGAAACAATGTTATCAATACTGAACAGTAGAAACGTTTATAATTTGTGGGAAATTGGACCTGCTCAACTTTGGTTATCGTACTTACTTTTCGGGAAGGTGTTTGTTAATCATAGAAACCACAAAGCTTAAATGAAGTATTAGTTCAAAAGTAGAACTAGAAAGACACTGTTTTAGAATCTTAGGCATTACTAAAATGAAGAAATCTTTCCTCGGGAAATTCAAAACTCAGAAACTTTATCACTAGTAACTTAATTCTTCTTCATAGGTTATTTTATCACTAGAGGGTAGAGCAAGCGAATACGTGGTGCAAAACTGCTATTTTCTTTCGACAATGAGCAATATAAATCCTTATTCTCAAATTCTAGTCATTGTATATAAGGATTTAATAATAATCATGGATCTGATGTTTTATTGCTTCTGTCTCTCTCTCTCTCTCTCTCTCTCTCTCTCTCTTTTTTGCCTGAGTAATTAAATATGACTTTAAGCACATGGCAAATTAGTTACTGGACGAGACGAAATTTGTTAAAGGGCCTGCATCATGGATGTTGCACTTCTAATGTAAAAATTTTTGCAATTTTAAATAATTTTTCGTTGGTGAGTCATACATTTTTTCAAAATCAATTATTGCTTAGTTTGCTTGAAAATATGTTGCAGTCAGTGTTTACATTTTATCTCTGTCTGGATGAACAGGTTAGTAAGATTGAAGTTCAGTTTGATAAAACATCCAAACAAGTTGATGTTCACTTACTTAAAGAAACCCTGTGGGGCCATATGCAGAAATTCAATGAAACTTCAATTCAGGTAAGTCCAAGTTCTCGTGGAGGCCTGATTTTACTTCATAATTGAGCTCTATATAGCTTCAAATTGAGTAGTTGATAGCCAATTGCATGTTCAGTATACATGATTTTTTTTTTTAATCATTTATTAACTGACTCATGTTCAAAACATAATAACGAGCTTCTTTGATTTGTAATGACTTAAACTTCAGATGAGTTGGTTTTAATTGAGATAACAAAATAGAGAAATCTATGTGCAAGAGAGGGGATGCTTTGAAGTGATAATTGAACAATTGCTACATAATATATCACCCAATAGTTAAATCCTTGGAAGCTCATGGATCTGCCGTCCGGATAGCTTGTTTTCCTAACATATTTAATATATGGGAAAGATGCGAAAAGCAGCCTATAACTAAATGCTGTAATATAGCATCTTAGGAATAGAATTGTCCAGAAAAATTAGATTTCAATGCTTCTTGTGGAATCAGGCTTTTGTGAAGTACATTAGAGATATTTCTTAGAAAACATGATGCATTTGTGTAGTAAAATCCTGAAATATAATTTTTTTTATGGATAAATGACCTAATCCTTTAATCTGGGAACAGTTTAAACAAAGTGGAAATCATAAACACACATACATAAACACATTTTTGTGGTGGTTTGTTTCAACTTTCAAGCCATGTGCACTTGCTGCTGCAGATTTTCGTGACGATGAAGAAAAAGAATTACAAGACTTTCTTCCTACACCTCTATTCCTAGGACTTATGCTAAGCAAGACAAAGGGATAAATCCAAATTCTCTCCAAAAGATAGATCTCTTTATCTATCACTCAAGTTGATATATAAATAGAAATAGGGAGACTTCTATTACAGGTGCACAAGGGAGAGGCTTTTGGTTGTTATTTGGTATGGAATTCTCATCATTCCTGTTATATTGGGGGTAACAAAAGATAATTCCTATTCTATGTGGGAAAGTCACCCTATGACAATTAGGACATAGGAAAGACCAATCTTATTATTGTGGGATTGTCTCCAAATAGGAAATTCTTTAATAAGCATATCAAATATGAAATATCTTATGTACGCTTAATTCTAGAATTAACCCTTAGATTCCTACAAATTTTATGCAAATAAAATGTATCTGTAGAAGATTTTATCCCAAATGATAGTCCAAACGAAATTGTCTTGAGTATTCGCCTACTAAAAGCGATTTCACCAAGGGAAGTGCACCTAATATGGAATGTATCAAGAGCAAATAATCTGACAAGATTCTTGTAGATAGTTACGGAACTTTAGTTAAAATTTAGAGCACTATTAATGGCAACAAATCACCAGTCAATATTACCATAATTCATGAACAATAGTAAATATAAATAGATGTACATCTATGAACAAACTCAGCTGTCACCGAAATTCTTGTTTTGTAGTGTCTTATGAGTTCATTCCTTATCAAAACTGGTTTATGAAAATTTCAACTGTACATGTTAATGATTAAAAATAAAAGAGAATGGTTGCTTACTTTGTACGATGCTTACTTATATATACTAGGCATCTCACTGCAAGGCAGTTTCTATGGATTTTGGCTGTATATGTTGAAGCTTAGTAGTTCTCACGTGAAGGCAAATTCAACTAATCGGTCATGAACTGGGTGTTCCAGTGTGAATAATACTACACAGGAGGCCATATAAAGCATTACGGTTTATTTAGGATAAAGATTTGAACTTTGGAACATGGAAATGTAACAAACAATTATTGGTGGAAGCTTTGGAATAACGTAGTAATGATAAAAAAGCATCATTGGAGGAAGCTCATCATGAAAGTGTAGAATCTTAAGCAATCTGCTCTCGTTTGGAAACGAGTTTGTAGTTGAACATAGTTGTTACATATTGTTCAGTTGAAAAGTATTTTCAAATTGCATTTGATGAAATAAATTAACTCCTTTGTCATAGCCTCTATTTATTTTGTATCCAGTGCTTCCCTCTCTCTCTCTCTCTCTGTTGCTCCCTTGGTGTGCTTGTGAGCTGTTACAGGTGTGGGGGCGTGATTAGGGCGTGCCTGCTATTATACTTGTACCAATATGTAAATTGAAGGTCTAATTATGGACTATTCCATACATTATGGGGGGAAAATGCAGGAAGAAACAGTGTCTTTCAGGCAAGTCTTAGCCAATTTCCCAGATGAGTGTAAAGAAGCAGCAGCAGCAGCATCTGTTAACGACATATCTCCACATTTGTGCTTCATATGCCTATTGCATCTAGCTAATGAGCACGGATTGTCAATTCATGGCTGTCCCAGCTTGGATGATCTCACCATACAACTTAAATGACATGCTATAATGTCTAACAACTTTGGATACTTCATCGAGGTAGAGATAAATTTGAAATAGTCCAGATGACAGACATTGATCTCTTCATTTTTTAATGTGCTCCTAAAGTTTTCAATATATAGATTCGATCAGGGCTCTTGGTACGAGGCAACTGTGTTTTGGTGATGTATATTTACATTGCAACTTTCGTGTTTTAGAAATTTGAGGGAAAGATGAATTTTCTTCATTTATAAATGATCATTTGAAATTATCTCGGTTTCCTTTTCTTTTCTTTCCTTTTTATTTTTTTATTTCTCTCTCTATCATCTTGTTAAAAGTGAGTGCAATGTAAGGATTTTTAATCAATAGATGGGCTTATATGTGTGAATAATTGTGTGTTAAATTATAGGCTATCGAATTCGGTTGAGTCCAATCAAAGTGATCTAATTAGGCTTTAATTTTGGGTTTTAATGTATCCAATTAAAGTGTGAATTTACATATGTGTAGAGATTGGGCCCAAGTCTTATTTTTATGATGGGCCGAATTAGGTCAGAGGGCGTCCCTATATAAATGGGTTATGGTCCTTTTCTTTTCTTATTCATAAAAAATCATAGTCACTGGATGTGTTCAAAAATTATAAAGCTAAAGTTGAGAACCAATTCGGCAAAATGATTAAAAGTGTCAGATCTGAACGTGGGGGTGAATACTATGACAAATATGATGGTTCAGAGGGACAGCGTCCAGGACCATTTGCTAAATTCTTAGAGGAATGCGGTATTATCCCATAGTACACTATGTCGGGTTTACCTACTATGAATGGTGTTGCTGAGAAACGAAATAGAACGTTTAAGGACATGGTGAGAAGCATGATCAGTCATTCTACTTTACCAGAATCTCTCTGGGGTGAAGCATTAAAGACCGCAACTTATATACTCAACAGAGTTTCAACTAAGACTATTGATAAAACCTCATACGAGCTTTGGACGGGCAAGAAGCCTAGTTTGAAGCATATACATATTTGGGGGTGTCCAACTGAGGCAAGGCCCTATAAGCCAAATGAAAAGAAATTGGACATAAGGACTATCAGTTGCTATTTCATTGGATATTCTGAAAGGTCCAGAAGTTACAAGTTTTATGATCCCACTACTAAGGCAATTTTCAAGACAGGAAATGCTCGGTTCTTTGAGGATGTTGAGTTTGCGTGAAGAAAGGGTTACATACTTTGTCTTTGAGGAGAAATATGTTGAAATTCCTTCAATTGCCATTGACAATGATCATGTTTCTATCCCTGATATTGTTTAAGAAGTAACTCTGGATTAAGATAATGTCATACCTCCCTCTCAAGATCAACAAATTGTTCCAGAAAAACAAATTTTACAGCCTCAAGAACCAATGTCATTAAGAAGATCCACTAGAGAGAGGAGAAGTGCAGTTTTGAATGATTACATCGTATTTCTTCAAGAACATGAAGTTGACATTGGAATGGTGGAAGATGATCCCATTGACTTCCGTCAGGCCATGGAAAGTTCTAACTCTCAAAAGTGGCTCGATGCTATGAATGAAGAAATAAAGTCCATGAAGGACAATGACGTATGGGACCTCGTTCCATTGCCTGAAGGTGTGAAACTCATTGGTTGCAAATGGATATTTAAGACCAAGAAGGATTTGAAAGGTGATGTAGAGAGGTATAAGGCTCGTCTTGTCGTAAAGGGCTTTACACAGAAAGAAGGCATCGATTATAAAGAGACTTTCTCTCCGATTTTTTCGAAAGACTCTTTCAGGACTATAATGACATTGGTAGCGCATTTCGATCTTGAGTTTCATCAAATGGATGTCAAGACAGCGTTTCTCAATGATGACATTGATGAAATAATTTATATGGTACAACCAAAAAATTTTGTATCGGACGATGCAAAGCAAATGGTTTGTAAATTAAAGAAATCCATCTATGGACTCAAACAGACGTCTCGTCAATGGTATTACAAGTTTCATCAGTTGATCATCTCATTTGGTTTTGAGATGAATTTGGTCGATGATTGTATATACCATAAATTCAGTGGGAGTAAGTATATTTTTCTAGTTTTATATGTCGATGACATATTGCTTGTCAGCAATGATATAGGCTTATTACACGAAACCAAGAGATTTCTAACAAAGGATTTTGAGATGAAAGATTTTGGTGACGCCTCTTTTGTATTAGGAATTCAGATACATCGAGATCGTTCTCGGGGTATTCTTGGATTATCATAAAAGAGTTATATCGAAAAGGTACTTAAAAGATATGACATGCAAGATTGTAAATCATGTGACACCTCAGTGGTTAAAGGAGACAAGTTCAACTTAAGTCAGTGCCCTAAAAATGACTTGAAAATTAAAGAAATGCAGAAGATTCCTTATTCCTCAACTATAGGGAGTCTGATGTATGCTCAGGTTTGTACGCGTCCGGATATAGCGTATATTATTGGAATATTAGGGAGAAATTTAAGTAACCCGGGAATGGATCATTGGAAAGCAGCCAAATGGGTCATGTGGTATTTACAGAGAACAAAAGACTACATGCTCACATACAGGAGATCGGATCAGTTGGAGATTATCGGTTATTCTGATTTCGATTTCGCGGGATGCCAAGATAGTAAGAAATCCACTTCAGGCTATATTTACTTGCTTGCTGGAGGTGCTATTTCATGGAAGAGTGCCAAGCAGACACTCATAATTACTTTCACTATGGCAGCGGAGTTTATAGCGTGTTATGAGACATCAAATCATGGAATATGACTGCGTAATTTTGTCACTGGGCTGCACATTGTGGACAATATAGAAAGACCACTTAAGATATTTTGTGACAATAAATTAGCAGTGCTATATTCTAATAACAATAGGAGCTTGACGAAGTCAAAACATATAGAGATCAAGTTCCTAGCTGTTAAAGAAAGAGTTCAGAGTTGACAGTTGTCAATAGAGCATATTGGGACAATCTCCATGGTTGCGGATCCGCTTACTAAGGGATTGATATCCAAAGTTTTTCATGAGCACATTGCTCATATGGGTATAATGTCTCTTGAGGATATTTAGTTTTAGTGGGAGTTTGTATTTTTGTTTTTCATATTGGACACATGTAATGTTGTTTTAAATACTGTTTAAAGTTAAAGTTATTTTCAGTTATAAAGTTATTTGGTTTATTATTTTTGAACTTGTTTAAAATGGTCTCATTAAGGCATTAAGGTGGACCAGTTGGAAATAGGCATGTTACAGATCACATCATATGTAATTTCCATGCTTCACATTCATGCTTGATCCATGTCATTCGGTTATATTGATATACGTGACCATTGATGGGTTTAACTACATGAAAGTAGCGAAAGCTGCTTTGATCCTATGTTGATATGATTGATGGACGGGATTGTTTAGGGATACATTCGGTAATGATATCAAAATTCTGAGTATTCATAAGATTATGTTTAATGTACAATTATAAAGTGACACATATAGCCCAAGTGGGAGATTGTAAGGATTTTTAATCAATAGATGAACTTATATGTGTGAATAATTGTGTGGTAAATTATAGGCTATCGAATTCGGTTGAACCCAATTAAAGTGATCTAATAAGGCTTCGATTTTGGGTTTTAATGTATCCAATTAAAGTGTGGGTTTACATATGTGTAGAGATCGGGCTCAAATCCTAATTCTATGATGGGTCGAATTAGGTCAAAGGACGTCCCTATATAAATGGGTTATGGTCCTCAGATCATACGTACATATTATTCATTATTTATTGCATCCCATCACAGAGAGGAAAAAGAGACTGCGTGTAAATTTGGAAGACTATATCGCGAAATTCATTATTGCATTAACCATGTTTGATTCAGGTACGCTTTCGCTTTAATTCTTGTATTTTTTGATGATTAACATGAAAGATCCGATGATTTAAAGCATTAAATTATCCTACATGCAAAGCTAGCTACCATTGGGCCAACCCATTATGTTGTTATTGGTAAATTATTTCTTCTGTATACGTTGAATAATACGAGGAAATTGTCTATTTTTCTATTATATTTTTCGGTAATTTTAAAGATTTTTTGATCTACATTGATTAAAAAAAAGTATATTTTCGCTTCAAGATATGGCAACCGGTAGTTTTTAACTATCAAATTGTTATTTTATGAATTTGTTAAGGTGCATATTTTACATCAACTTTATGGGTGTCTGGGCATGAAATTTTTTAACACTATGATAGAATATTTTCTACTTAGTACTCTAAATAACAATAGTTTTATTTTTATTTCTACTTTTTTGAATTTTGAAGGAACTTTATTAAGCTTTTATTTGATGGAGATTAAAATTAAAATTTTAATAAATTTTGATTAAATTCGTGATTGAAATATCCATTTTCCTTCTTCGAATATAAAAAGCGAACCACTCACTGCCAATGCTTCTCCACTTTAAAGTTTGAACCTTGTAATGTTAAAATTTTACATTAGTCTAAACAATATTCATTTTACGTTCTTACATACTCAAAAGGTTGAACTCCAATTTTGAGAGTTTCTATCATCTCGTCCCTGAAGCATCATAAGGGAGGTAAATTACGAAATGTGCACTAGAACTTACCGTACATTGATAGGGAGATTTTTATAAATGGCCTACTACTATTCATTTTTGGTAAAATGTCTATAATACCCTTAATGAAAGGATTTGTCATATTTGCACAAGATATCCTTAATTTATTGGAATAGTTCTAAATTCTTCTATTTCTCTCATTTCGAGTTTTAATATATAATTCCATCCTTTGATCTAATAAATTAGAATAATCTATAATATAATTGTCATGTAATTTACTAAGATTATCATATTCCTTAGATGAAATATCCATAATCTCTAGTTGAGCAAAAATATTTCTTATTTTTTTCAATAATTTTTCTAACAGATTATCTAATCCTTTAATTGTATAACCTGGCATTATTCAGATAATTCCTTACAAGCTTTATGAATAACATGTTATATAAAGTTTTTGCAAACATGAAAAGTAATAATCCCTACGATTCTTTCAAGATATTAGAAGAATTCTTTCTAAATTTAACAAAGACAATAATTTTACCTTACTTTTGATCTTAAATCTGTATTCTTAGAACCGAGTGACCTTCAGGCTCTGAATCTGCAAACTGCTCCCTCAAACGGCCTCTTGCCTCAATAGGAATTCTGCTATTTCAGCTTCTTGCCCTCACTGTATCTTTTCTTAAAATTAAGAATAAAGATCTTAAGTAAAGAAAATTCCCT